TTTGAACCTCTAAGGTTTCTAGGATTGCTAGGGCTTTGACCTGTTGGGTTTCTAGGACTCTGGTCCTCTGGGAACTTGGGCCGTTGGGTTCTCCGGGACTTTAGGTCGTTAGGGTTTTGGGTCGTTAGGTATCTGCGCCTAAGTGGGCCCTTGGGTTTCTGGGTTTCTGGGTCTCTGGGCCCTTGGGTCTCTGGGTCCTTGGGTCTCTGGGTCTTTGGGTCTTTGGGTCTCTGGGTCTATGGGTCTTTGGGTCTCTGGGTCTTTGGGTCTTTGGGTCTCTGGGTCTCTGGGTCTTTGGGTCTTTGGGTCGTCAAAGCATTGGATATTGCAGTTCAACACTAGACGGAAAATCAAATTTAAATATGTATCATGATCATAGGCTTTCAACAGGAACAATATTTTTTCATCAGTATTTTAATCGGAACAACCACGTACCAAGACCCAATGTATACTTTACATTTCAGTCGCGTCAAATGTAGTTTCCATAGAGAAAATGTTCACAACAGTTGCAATTAATCACCTTCGGTAAAAAATCAGTGCAGAAAAAAATCGTCTTTCAACTGTTAAACTGTATTGTACACAACGAATGCGAATGCGAATGGGAATAATTCCGGTTTACACATTGACTGAAATTCGATGTATAAACATGACCTGAGTATGAGGAAAAACAATTATCTTCACATTAGCCAATGAATACTATATCCGCAGGTATATTTTGCAGACTGTAGTTTGCAGGTTGATTATTATTGTTAAAAAGCACCCATGAGTACAATGTATATTTTCTCGTATTTTCTTTGCCAATATTCATAAACAAAACGTCAAAATATAACAACGGCTTCACAGCCACCAAGGAATATGCGTGTTCTATATACAAGTTTCTTCACGTATTTCACGTTCAAGTAGCAATATTTTTCACAGAAAGATTGATTTGTTCCTCAATCAAAAGAAGCGCTAATTCTTTTCGCTGTTTAAGGTGCTGTAGTTTTTGCTTCACTTGTTTTTCGTCTTTCAGGCGAACCAAGTTCAGTTTCAATATGTTCACTGCTTCATTAGCGCTTTTGTTGTAGGCATTGGTTAGTTTAGTGACTAGTTGCTTTGGAATGTTTTTCTCTAGAACTTCGGGCTGGCCCATGACATGCTGAAGCAAGATTAAATTTTCTTCATCTGTCCATTTGCCATCACTGACAGATTCATCGTTATCAATCATAAATTGAAGACCTCTTTTTCTTTCTCCCCCAAATTGGTCTTTGCTTCGTTTCCGTTTGGTGCTCTTTCCAATACTCAAGCTTAGCGACCGCGTTCGCGCAACCATGCAGCACTTGCTATGGGAGGGATGGCACTATTGCTTCTAGGTCAATCGACACTGACCGAAGATCCGCTGCGTTAGTTTTGACCAGAAAACAAAAGGTGATCGCGGGACCGTTCGTAAGTTTTCAACAGGGCGGCTCTGGTTTTCAAGTTCGAATTCTTCTAAAGTTCGCTGTCTCAGCTGCTGTCACATTGTTCTTCCAGCCGCTTGCATAGGTTCTTGACTCTACCAGACTTATTTGCTTAGATTAACAACGTCTTACTCCATAATATGTTGTCCAAACTAGTGAAAGAGGACGAGAATTTTCCGCCCAGGAAAAAGGCAAAATCTGGCCCCCGCTATGCAGCTGAATAGAAGATACAGCTGAAGATATCGTAAAGTAAAATTTATGTGCGCGATATCCTTTTTTATTATTATTATTATTCTCAAAGCTCAGGGGCACCCAACGATGATTTCCCCCTAAATGCATTGAAAACACATTTAAGGCTGTCCAGAGTACTTTTGACCGAAAAATGCATTCTAAACAGCGCTTACATAAATTTAGTCAGGAGGGCTAAAAGCGAAGCTAATGATTAATAGTTTGCTCATACTAAATATAAAATATATCGTGTAATGCTAAGCGGAGAAGGCAACGAGACAGGGCCACCCAACGACTGTTTCCTCAAATACTTTCAATTGAAAACACTTTTGTAGCTATTCATAAAGTACTTTTAGCTCTATAGAAATGCATTCTAAGTGGCGCTATAAAATTTGCATCTCAGTGTTCGGCCATTCTAGAGGAACTTGAGTCTTTTCGAAATTACGAGGAATTCAGAATTATTTTCCCGAAAATTTTAGATGCAATTTAACGTATTACGAAGGAGATAATTTTTCAGATACCTTCTTTCATCACATTTTTGAATCCGAAAATTATAGGATTCCATTTTACTCTCTTCGAAAAATAGCCTAACCCGGTGAGTGAAATGTGAAAAATTAAAAGTTGGATGCCCTTGACCAGAACTGTGAAAAACAACAATAGATCTAATTGCAGCACACTGTCTTGTACATTTCCTTGCCGTTGATTTGCATGACTGCAACGTGAAACGTCCAGAAAACTTCCTGGTTTTCACTTTTTATGGAGAAAATGTGGTACATGTTCTTGTTCACTTTTTCCACTGCCGCTCATTTTTTTTAGCTCCGCTACAAGATTCGTATCTGTTCGGTGCTCCGAGGGCAAATTGGATCTGTTTAAATATTACAAGGGCTTCAATATTATTTTCCCGATTGATTGACCTGGAGGCAATAATACCATCCCACCCATAGCAAGTGCTGCATTGTTGCGCGAACGCGGTCGCTAAGCTTGAATATTCACGTCGCGTATTAAACCTGGTCGTTTGCGGTCATATCGAAGCGTAAAGGTCAACAGTGGTTGTTGATGAGCGAGCAATTATTGTGCAGTTGCGATGGGTTTTGTGGAGCAAGCGAGCCAGGAGCAGGAGCAGACGTTACCTGCAGATTAGCCGATGGTTATTTGGAGCGGATTCGTCGATTATTCTCGTATTTATAGTGCTTCGTGTGAAGGCGCGTGGAGATGGTCTGTTTGTTTTGTAGCCAGCCTTTAATTCTTCTTTAGTGGATAGTACCTACAATTGCAAAACTCAACAAAATGCCACTTAAACCGGCCAGGAAAGACAAGGATACGTTCAGTTGAAGGTATCTTAGCTTTGTTTTGTTATATTTTGACTTTTGGACTATTTTAGTCCATGGGAGTTTCGACGACTCATCGCATTAATTTGTCCATGTGAATATTAATATATTCATTCAGTGACACATACTACGTCTGGGCCGCCTGTGATGAAATCGGTCAACTTTTCAGCCAACAACTCCCAACATTTCTTTTGTTCCGTGATCGTCCAAGCCTAGCGCAACAATGTTGGATCCGTTTGCACAGCTCTTCCAACATTGTTGGGGCCACGCACGCTCATTACGCATGGTTTACAAAGACTTATGGGTTGTATCCTTCCCATGATGCACTGCAGGTCCCAAAATTGTTGGGAGTTGTTGCATCCGTTTGCTCACCACTGCCAACATGCACGCAACAACTCCCAACATTGTTGCGCCAACAATGTTGGGAGTTGTTGAGTCCGTTTGCACGCAGCCTTAACACAGATTCGGCATTTGGAGCATTAACGTTACTTAACGTTGCAGGAAGAGAGTATGGCACGCGCTTTTTAGGCCCGTCCCGTCCCCAGGGACCTGTCGGGTCGCAAAAGAGTAGCGGCAGGAAAGAAGAGGTCTGTACAAAACAAAAGAACCTGGGGGTGAGGTTGCGTCGCGATTTGGAAAGGAAATTACTTTTACATCAAGCTGGTAGCTGATAATTAGCGCAAGGTGTAGACTACTACAGGGGAACCTCGATATAACAAAGGGCCCAGGAATTTCTTTACTTCGAGGTTCTTTTCCATATACACGATTTTTCCAGGCCGTGGATTCCACGCGTGACGAAGCCGTAGGAACGTTTACGTATTTTTCCCCTTGATTCGCCTAAACCGAGTCGCGTACGCCGCATTTACAGTTAATGCATTTTTTAAAGAGGTCGGGGGAGAAGGAGTGAAAACGGAGAAATTAAGAGTCGCTTGGGTAACGTCGGTTTACCCATTTGGCCGCATAAAGACCAAAGCAAAGCCACAAGGTGTGGAGGACGAGGAAAACTTGATAGTGAGTTTAGAACATTTTGACGACATTGTCATGGTTGATAAGAGTAAAAACCATGGAAAATTGTTGTCGATTTGTTAAACTTCTTATTACTCCTTTGCTTTATCCTTTTTATGCTGGTTCCTTTTCTTTTCAGCTTTCCTTTAGATCTGTCTAAGCCTGAAAGCTAAAGGCGCCGAGAGGTGTAACATTCACAGCCACTTGTCTGTGAATATAGAGTACATAAGTTCAGCCCTTGCGACCCCAATCGTTTCCACGGCGCGCAAGCTACAAAACTTCACTAAAACGCACCGTGGTAACTCGATTGCGGGAGCTTCAACTAATTTTGATAGTAACCTTGTTTAGTAATCTCTTTCTAGCAAAACAGGCTGTAATTGGCGGGAGAGATCATTTCTGTCAAACAAGGGCACAACGAACAGTACTCTAACCATCGAAAGTACGTCCTTATTCTAATGTCATTAAATTTCTTAACCACGTTCAGTGCTGTATACATAAATGGCGGTCGAATATTTGGTTGTTATTTATTGAAGACAATACGCCGTGGCCCTAATAGTCCCGCCAACACGTACGATTTGCATAGAATTCTTTTCTTAGATTGAGTTTTGAAAGGTATAATCAACGTCTTATAAAAATCACACGAATTCGGCCGCCACTTGTGCAATCAGTCTGCAATTCTAAAACGTCTTCTAGCAAATTTCCCCAATGATCCAGACGGCGGCCTCAGAATATGTACTGTTCTTCCACGGAAAATAAAAGCAGTGTCCAGTTATTGTAACAAAGCTCCTTGAACAAATATTGCTTCCCTTGGAGTCTCTTTTTTGACCATTAAAGGAGGACATTTCCACGCTATTTACATGACGCCAAGCTGTCCCTTCATGCAGCTTCGAAAAATATTACTGCTTGTATAACATGTACATTGTATGAAGTTTGAGAATTTTCTCCTCTCAGATTAATTCAAAGATTTATCCGATAATATCTTCAGCCTACGAATCCTGACTCAATTTTGGTCCGTTGAAAACAGATAGTCGCATTTTTCTATACACGTCTGAATGAACAAAATAAAGTACATTTGACTTGACATCTCCAAACGGGTGAAATCTGGCCGAATTATTGTAGGGAACAACACCAAAGCCAAGTTTCTAGCTTCCATGAGATTCTCTTTTGAATATTCCGTGACTCTGAAATGAAAACCAACAGTAATTCATTATTCGAAACTTGGGAGACTTTAGGCCATGCGCGCATTTGGTGCCCGGCTTCGATGCCCGATTAGGATACCCGCTGGGCACTAATATGAACAACCTCCTTCTTCAAGTACCCTCGCAATAATTCGGTACAAGGACGAAAGCTTCCAGTGAGGCACACAACGAATCCCTGTGTGCGTGTTTCTTGTTAGTTTCGAGGCAATCCACTTCATAGCACACCCATAACTCACTACTACCTCACTCAAAAACTGGTGTCTGAAAACGTGTAGTATTAGGTGCCCAGTGTGTGGACACAGAACCATTTTGTGCCAGTAGCCAGGCGTGACTTGTATTCACGTAACAACAACAAATAGATACATATCGGATACACAGAGTGTGTGAACACTGCACCATTTGGTGTTGGAACCCAGGGACTGGTGTTTGGGCACCAAATGTGGACACGGCAGGCTAAGGTACACCAGATTGCCGGCTAATCACATATGGTAAATGAAAGGTTTATCATCCTCGGAAATGCCGACCATTTGAACACGCGGTAACGACTGCTTAAAAGCAGTACTGATCACTGGCTCGTTTAGAACCGTTGGTAGAGTTTTGACGATTATTCGGCTACAGCTTTTTTGTTGTCAGTATTATACATGCAATGTTGTGGACCGTTCGGACATTATTTATCCAATGTAAACCTGAGATTAAAATTCGACACTTTACCGCAACAGTTGCGATTTTCTTATTAAAGCAACGTACCGGTTAAGATGAAACATGATGCGCTTCACCACAGCCAAGTTATGGGGCGGCAAATCGTGAAGAATCTGCCTCAGTCGAGCTAAACGGTCATTGGCATCAACATGAACTGAAAAATACAAAGGTAAGTCAGAAAATAAGGTTGTCGTTCGAACACAAATTGAAGATTGCACCGAGCTGCTCGCTAAGGTGTTCAAGAAAATGTGCAGCAACAAATTCAAGCCGATGCAAACTTTTTCACAACGCAGGCCGAACAAGATTTAGAGTTGCAACCGAATGCAAACGAATCCTTGCAAAGGCTGGCATTTGCCAATCTTCGCTCTCCCTCGGTTTTAGCCTGTTCCAAGCGTTCAGATAGTAGAGAGTGGCGTGAAATTAAGAGCGGAGGAATAAAAATTTTCATATTTCTTTGCGCCGTCTCCACTAACTGGATGCCTGGAATAGGTTACCTCGATTTCGGATATTAACAAATGTTACATGTGTAAGTCTACGTAAAACCAATTTGGACGAAAAATGACTCTCAAAATGACTGTGCTACTCAATGTAACAATTAAGGTACGGAAAAACGAACAACAAAAATGTGCAACTTGTTTTGCGACATTGCTGCAAAATGAGACGAGAGGCCATGTGGCGCGTGTTACCACTCACAAGTCAATGACCTTTCTTGCAACAAATCAGTTTGTTGATTGTTATGCGTCGCACCGATCTCTAAAGTGGAGAGCAATTTCGCTCCGTTACGGAAATAACGCCGTAATCACCGTTCTCGTGCGTGAACAAAAGCCCTATCCTGTATAATTTTTGTGCAGGCGCAAAAGCTATTCGGTTTTTTGTGAATATAGCTCGAGTCTATAAACACTTCTCTGTACTCACCCATTGCATCATGTAAGGCACTCTGAAGTGAGTTTGGAATGACAGGTTCGGGTAGTAACTTCAAAAAAGACTTGAAGGCGCCTGTTACTGCATGAACTCCGACCCCCAGCTCGGCCAACTCAAGTCCGTGGTCTGATACAGAGAGGTGGAAGTACAATTAGATTAATGTCATTGACGAATAAGGAAAACTCCAGGGTGTGTCTACAATCGGGCTAGACCCGATTGTCCTTTTCGAAGTATGACATTAAGTTCTCTGCTGGAGGACTCATCGTTTCTGTCGCACACATTGTAACAAGTCAGTTCGGGGACTCCCTTTTTACTCGTGTAAAATTAATATATAGTATATTGGACCGTTTATACAGTGTGTCTTGTACTTACTTTCTTCCACTTTTTGCTCGATGAGGCCAATGTCCGCTTGATTACCGTTTACTCTGTAAATTCCCTCAACTTGCATTCCTTCAAAAGGAAAAGAAAAATAGCCCTATTTAGTTCATAATCTCTTGCCAGCAAACACCTGGATCGCCGCAGCAATGAGGTGGATGATGACAATTTTCGTATGGATTCAGATGACCACAAAGAAGTCGTGGACACACACTCTCTTACGTCTGGAGTAGATTAGTCTCCTTTGCAGTCGTTCGGGCCAGAGTCACGCAATGCTTCCCTTCCCAAGCATTGCGTGACGCTGGCCAGAGCGGCTGCGAAGGAGGCTAGGAGCAGATCGGGAGTACACCTTAACTTTATATTAGAGGATGAAACTAAGGTGAAAACTGAACAAAGGCCTCTGAAACATCGGATCAAAGAAGGAAAAGCAAACTGAGCACTGGATAGCACAGACGAAGACTGAACGTTCATTCGCCTGATACTGAACACAGTGAACGCCAGCTAAAAGGAATCTAGTGGTTTAAGAACCTGCTGGCAGAAATTTGGCACTTAAATACCCAAAAATATAAGAACCTGTTATATTCGGGTTACAGGTAAATTATGATAAATCTTTTAACCAGGGAGTTTGACTTCGAGATTGCCAATTAGTCTTTGATATTACAAGAAAATAATGTCCTTAATCGTAATTACAAACAAAATTATTACTGTAATTCTTGTAGTTCTTAAACGCGGGTGTTTACTTTATTAAAGAATATGATTTTATGGACTTAAAACTAAACGATGCAATTTTCTGTTGATCCTCATCGGCCTCAATGATCTTGACTGTTCCCTAATCGTCACTTGCTAGAACTGGAATTAAATAAAACAGAATAAGCGGGGCATACCTGCGTTTTCCACAAAATCGATGCACCTGTCCACAAACACAGGAACATGGGATTCAGTATCGCAAATTGTTTCCAGCGGCTGAGCGAAATACGTAAAATTGGTGACTTTTTTCTGTCTGCTTTCGAAAAACTTGTCAATTTTCTCTTTATCTTTTCTCTTCTTTTTCTCCTCGCGTTTCTGGCGTTTTTCCTCTTCGCGTGACTTCTTCTCTTCCTTCTTTCGCTGCTTCAAGGCCTCGCGATCCTCGCGTGGTGTCTTCTTTTTCGATGAAGACCACGCCTAAAACAAATGCAAAACCACTTCAAGCTAAGAAACGTTTACGTAAAGGGTACTACAGTGTAGGCACCACTACTGCAAAAAGGAATTGTGCAAATAACCTTTTTACGGATGAAAGTTCTGCGCTACCGCGGGTGAAAGCTATGACAGGTTCATCAGGCTTTTAAGCCTGATCAACTTGTTTAATTTAGCGATGTGATCCAGTTTAATGATCTGCCAAGAGTTCCGCATCAAAACTCTAGACAGGTACATTTCTAGCCTATGAATACAGCAGTCTCTCTTCTTTCCTCGCTGCTATTAGGACGTTTCGTATCGTTACACAACGCGTGATCATCAAGTGGATACCGTCTCCATTCCTGAAACTCAGGTAACAACACATATGACCAATCCGTCGACGTCCCCAGTACTGCAGACCGTTTCAAAATTATACCACAAAACTTACCGATTTTTTTGTTTTGTGTCCTAACGGTGAACCAGGATCATCTTCTGTTTCCTACAAAATTTAAACAAAACCGTAATTTCACGGAGGAAAGGACAACGTGAGTACGTGTGTACAATTACAATCTGCGCTACTATCGCTAATCTCCAGACGAGTCCGTTGGAGAAGTAAGCCCAAAGCTTTTAGCTCCGGCTAAAATCACGACACCACTTTGGTCGGACAAACCTCTTGTAAACCCCCTCCTCTCCAATAAGCCCCACTCCATTAATTGCTTTTCAGGGATAGAAAGCTAATTAGCCTCCATCTCTTTTTGACTCCCCCCCCACACACACCTTTATTCTAAAATGATAGACTGTATGGACTGATCCGGTATGATTTATTCACGTGCTGGAAGTTAGGATTTCTTTATGATATTCTGCACGACCTTCAGCTTCTTGTGCCAGAGCCTTTCCACTTTGCGTTCTAGTTTTTATGGAGAATTGGTATCATCTTCGCTAATTAAATAATCCCCTCTTTGAAATAAGCAGCCCCCCCCCCCCACCCAAACGTGCTTGACTTAAAAAAAATAATAAGTAACCCCCCCGGGGACGGGCTAAATAGAAGATTGACGGTAGGTGAGTACGTACCTCTTCTGTCCCGAGATCTGATTCTCGCCGAGGAATATCCAAGTGATTGGGCTGCAATAACGATACGCAAAAGATTGGGAATTAAAAGCGAACTTCACGGGGGAGTTCCTACTGTGGTGACAAAAAAGACTTGGGTGAGTTAAGCCTATCATGACTTCTAGTACCTACCCTGAATGGTCCTTTGTGCTTGTTTTTATCCTTGGTGAATTCCAAGGTTGACTCATCTTCCTGGCTTGAGGACATGGTACCAGTCCTCCTAGATTCTTTCTTGGCTAAAAATTAGTAAACACAAAGCCAAAGGATATGAAGTTTCTACCTACATCACTCATTGCCCGCACCTTTTTATCGAAATATGATCGCTTCAACTGAAAATTACTTTGCAATTTTCTTTAGGGCCTTAAGGACACAACTCACCTCCAAAAATTAATTTCGGTCCAATATCGAGGTTTCATTAAATTGAGTATCTTTTCCGTATATTTTCTATTACTGGGACGAAGAATGTCGTTCGTTATACCGAGGACTTCGTTCCACTGTAATTGACGAGGCTGTTATTATGTGCCTTACTCACTCTGGATACAGATCAGTCATTTCTATGTAATCTAGCCGTTTGCAGGCTAAACGATAGTACAATGTACCTTTATTTCTCAATCACTTCAAGACCTTGGGAGTCGATCCTGCCCCGGGAATCGATTCCAAGACCTACCGCTGAGGAGGTCAGCACTCTACCGACTGAGCAAGCCCCTACCGCGGTAAACTACAAGCTACAGTACATGCCACCTAAAGATCATGAACCTATCCCTACGGTCCGGATGAAGATACCCAGCTGTTCACTGTACTTACTTGATTTCCGTCCGGAGAAAAGCTGTTTCTTGTGTATCTCGGTGGGTACCTTAGGCGTGTTGGCTGGGCTGCGTTGCGTGCTCCGTGACCGCCGAATCACATACTTCTTCTTTACCGGTCGCAGCTCTTCTGTTCTGGGCAGAGTAGCCTCATCACCAGTCCCTTGATCTGAAGTATTACTGTCCCCTCTTTTATCGCGTCTTGGACCGAGAACTGGTCGACCATAAGTGTCTGTAAACCAAAGTTGATGCTCTTAAAACCCTTCTTAAGAGAATCAAGCACTACTTATACCGTCATCAGCAACAACACATCATCTAAAGACAAACCTATTTTGGCCTCATAGCCTTAACTTTTCCGCGACCTACATGTAGTACCCGCGCTGGTGAGGTACCACCTTACACCCACACTCTGAATCATCTCTGGATCATAACATTTTAATGAGACGTTTTTGAAAACTGGAGTTCTCGAAGAACTGGAGAAATCGCGATGAATTTTAATAACGCAAATGCGCATTATGAGTTAAATTTCGTTGACAAAACCGTGATGTGATTACTTAAGCCACCTACTGGTATAAGCCAGTCAATCAGTTCTTCCTTTAATTTTTTGCATTTAACCTCTTAACGCCGACTGAAAAAAAAAACAGTGGATTTTCAAGTCCAGCCAAATTTTTACTAGTGCTGGAGCAAGGTCGACTGCTTTTGCTTTAGCGATGGAACCGTGGAAAGAATGGTAGGTAAGATTACCGCGCCGGGGCGCTTACTTCACGAGTGATTTCGTTTTGGCCGGGGAGCCACAAGAAGAATGGGGGTGAATCAAATTATCGAGCCTGAGAAAACAGCCGACATTTGGCGACAGTGGCACTGGTTTGCCCGCCAAATGAAGTCTGAGAAACGAGCGCAGAAATTCCATACTGATGACACGTCACTACCCAGATATGGGTAGTGCCTCTGATTGGTTAAATCAAATTTCCTACGCGGCACGACCAATCAGAAGCACTACCCAAATGTGGGTAGTGACGCGTCATCAGTATGGAATTTCTGCGCTCCTTTCTCAGACGTCATTTGGCGGGGAAACAAGTGGTTGCGTCGCCAGATGTCGGCTGTTTTCTTAGGCTACAAATTATCCTCCTCCTCACATGCTGCAGAAGTGCCCCCAAAACTCATTCACCGCTGTGATATCACCACCAACGTAAATTGGTCATCACCTACCTCGCCGGGATTTCCTCTCGATCGTGCTAACATCCTCAGCGGAATGCGACAGTCTCAAGGAACTTTTAAGCGTGACTTTTGCGTGCTGTTTGGGTTTTTTATCCGATGCATTGGGCTCCTCCACGATAGCCACAGCGTAAATTGTCGGCCGTGGCTTGTCCGAGATGTTTAATTTGTTTTTTAAAGCGTCTTGCACTTGTGCATATTCTGGATCGCTCACATCCTGAAAGAATAACACGATCACGTTAACTGGACCCTTTCACTCAACGTGGTCAATATGGCGAAATAACACGCCGTTCTGACTCATCCACTTTTTGAACCAAAAAAGGTTGGTTTGTTAAGTGACTTCATGTTCACGTAACTGGACCCTTTTACTCAGCGGGGTTACGAGGATAGTTTCGGCTCGTGGTCAGGGGGGTGGGGAGTAGAATTTCCAACCCAGAGAACTTTTTCTAAGACGGATTAAGACAAAGCAAAGAAACTTTCAGGCGCTGGTTGTTCAAACTCTGGATAGCGCATTTCTATCCAGCGGATAAGTACAGTGAAACTTACGTATAGCGGTCACCCTTGGCAGATGACCGTGTGACCGCTATATACAGTTTTCCTTTAACTCTACTGGAAGTTAAAGAATAACGCTTTTATGTGAAAATAATTAATCCATTTATATTAACAGTTGCATAACAAATACGAGAAACAGCCTCTTAAATTTGTAAGTATTAGGGACGCCACTTCGTTATTCAATGCAGCATAGATATCTATCCGGATAGCGTTATAAACTGCTGGGACCGTGTTAGTTTTGCAAATGACCTCATACAAGCTACATAAGGTCACCATGTCATACCTCCTGCTGTGCAAGCGGTGCCTCTACCTCAGAGCCCTTCCGGTTCAGATCAGGCACAGATGTGTGAATGTCCTTCTGCCGAGCGTTCATCTTCACCCAAACATCCTGTGTCGGAATGGCCACTTTATTGTTAAAGAAATTGATCTTTTCCTTCACTCGCAATGCATAAGGATCCTCCACAGCGATGGAGGAAGGTCTGGGACTAATATCGTCTACTGTAGAGTAGTGGTTCTCTTCTCTGCGGTCCTCATTCTTGAAAGTGTTGTACCCCTCGTCATCATTGCTCCTCAGCGTGTCTGTCCCCGAATCCGCCGGAGGGAAATCCTCACTCAAATTGTAGTTCCTCTTAGGCAGGGGTGGTGGGGTGTCGTGCACCGCCGCTGTAGGGGTCTCTCGGGCAGTTTTTTGCTGCTGGAGGAGATTAGCGTTCGCGTAGAGCGAGTTTTCGATCAAGTTCACCTCGCTGTCGTTCATCGTGGTTAGTTCTTTGGACTTCCGGAACGAGCGCTTCCGGGAAAGATCGACCTGAGCGTAAAGCTCTTCTGTCTTGTTTTCTCTCTTCTGCCAAACTTCATTATTTTGCGGTGTGCCGCTGGTTATACCACCACCCCTTTGCAAACTGAGGAAAAGCGCGGTGGGCGTCGATGTAGCGTAAGGCTTTAACTCGTCACTGCCGCTCGAGTCTCTCGCCTGGCTTGTGCTCTTTACGTCTTCTATGGAACTGTAAGCTGGGATCTGGTTCCCCCTCTGATACACAGCATACGGGTTGATTTCCGATTCGTCCAACGTTCCTTCAGACATTCGCTGAAACAGTTTTGGCGACACTGTCTGTCTCTCACTGAGGCTTCGTCTTCTGTTAATCTCGTCTTCGACGTTCACGGGTTTCTTGCTAGGGGGTTCCGGCAGAGGGTCGTGCTTGCGGCGAATGGAATTTTGCAGCTGTTTCTGCGACTGCCGAAGTTGTTGCTCGTTAATAAACTTTTGATACGCCAACTCGCTGTCTCTTTTCTTCTCCCAGACTTGATTGAAGAACGCAGCAAACGCACCAACTACAGCAAAAAAGTAAACATATATAAAAATTTACGAATATCCTTGAGATTAAAGCTCGCGTTTGTGAAAAACTTAACTTTTACGGGCTTTTTTGGGCAGATGTAAGTGTGTATTATATAATGTCAATGTTAATAATGTTAATTTTTTTATCTCAGGTAATTTTTGTTTTTCTTTTGTTTCAACTTCATTAGCATACAATACCATACCCCCCAAAAAAGAAAACAAAAATTACCTGACACAAAAAATTAACTACAACATATATCTGAACATGAGGCTGGTTCCGCGAAGGCCAAGATGAAGTTTACTCTTTGTTCTAATTGGCTACCCGAGCGCGCGGGATGGGGTTACCTTGCCCGATCAGGAACGATCACTCTTTCTGGCAACAAAAGAGTACTTTTTTGGCCATATAAGTCCTAGTTCACTGATCAAGTTTTAACAAACAAACTTGGTCAAACACGCATAATTATGGTCACAAGGATAGCACTTTTTTACAACGCCCTATCTTAGGATTTTGATGCAACTCAGCAAACATGTACAAAATAAAAAGGAAAGAAAAAAGATACCCTGATGCTGGAATTGAGAAGAAGTTGTTTGAAATTTGGCAAAGAGTTTACTGGCAAGATTGGTGCCGTCAGCCAATAAGCTAGCCGCCACATGACTGTGGAACACAACACTGGCTCCAGACGCGCTCCCTGTTACAGCTAGCACCTGTATAGGTACTTGAGGAATGAACCTTGAGAAGCCACTGTAAGAAAAAAAATCAAAATTTGACAAAAAAATCAGTCACACAAGCAAAGAAACATTCTGATGAGCGGCTTCGATAGTTACATATCTACAGAACCAAGTATAATTAAAGGGTTCGTACTCTTTTGAGCTCTTAAAATTCCATGACTTTCCATAACTTTTTCAAAGACCTTTTCAAGTTTTCCGTGACCTTAGGTTTAGCTGTCACTTTCGGAAATTTTCAAAACCTTCCTAGTTTCAGGGTATTCTTTGACCCAACTCAGTTGAAAAGAAACGAACTCTGGCGTCCAGCAAAATGCGTGCTGCTTGCGCTGTTTAATAACTCGTCTCTATCTCACATTGTCCTTGCTTTGACATCTGCAGCAACTAACCTACAAAACATAACTAACATTTTCCCTGACTTTCCAGGACCAACAAGTAAATTCCATGACTTCCCAGGTCTGGGGAATTAATTCTTACATTTTATGACCTTCCAGGTCTTCAATGACCCGAACGAAAACTGCATTAATTTGTAGTCTCCATGAAGAATGAGAAAAAAAAGAGGAAAATCTTCCACCTTCACAGTCCAGCAATTATGAATCCCTAAGAAATTTGTATTAAGGATGACTTCAGCCCCCCCCGGGGGGGGGGGTACTTTAGGAATTTCTGGGTGGGGATGTGCCGCTGGGACCCTGGAACCCTTAACCTATACTAGAGCTAGTTCAGCTGAATTTTGCTACCCTATACTAGAGTAAACTCCCCAAATCCCCCTAACCTAGAGTAGCTGTTTACCTAGTCTAGATAAAATCTTCAACCAACTGATCAGTTTCCTGAAAAATGATACCCTATTCTAGACCCAAACGCTCTGATTTATATACCCTATCCTAGAGTAAACTGCTTGAAAACCATACCCTTCACAGCGGCACATACCTATATGGCCCATATATGGCAGTACCCCCCCGGGCTTCAGCCTTCCTGAAAATTTTGGCAGTTATCTCAGCTCATGGCGGTGGATTACAAATGCTGTGGTACATTAGGAATGGAGAAGGGGGACGGGGGGAGGGGGGATTACCTGAGTGTTCCAAGTGATGCTTTCCGTATTGCTGAGTACACCAGGATGTAGCCATGGTACATTTGGTAATTAAGACTGTAAGCTCCTAAAAAAGTTGACAACGGGTCAGTCCTCTATTCTATTCAACAATCCATTTTAATTTCAGTCAAAGCTCCATTCGCTACCACAAATCTCCTAAGCAACCACTTCCTATAAACAACCAACCATCCTAAACACCAAGCTTTTCCCAGTCAAGGCTTAATCATTGGATCCTCTGGTAAACGACCACAGCCACTTTTTAAGATGATGGTTTCACAATTTTCCATTGTTTTTAAGCTCTTCTAAACAACTACCAGATACAATGGTCTGGTCTTTGTGTTCGCTGTTTGTACTACGCTACTCTTTAAAACTAAAGTAGAGAAGCCTGAAGACCTTCTGCAGCAGTTTGACTCTCATAAGTGACCACTAACTCTTTGCATTTGAGTAGTCACTTACACATGTACATACCGGGGATAAAAGAGTAATAGATTACAAGACTCTAAAGACAAGGTAGTTGAACAGGTCACAAGTCTAAACTGTGGAATATGACAAGTAAAAAATACCAACAGACCCTGAAAGTTAAACATTGACAATGCAGAACGCCCAAATTAATGCATACCATTCATAATTTTCGTTAAAAGCAAACAGCACATCATAGAGAATTTAACCCTTGAAGCCCCAATATCAACCTGTATACAAATTCTCCAAACTGATCTCTATACATTTCCTTAAAGAATGAGTTGAGAGAATTTGATAAAAGATCAAAGTATTTTCTCTAAGGTGATCATTTAATTAATTCTCATGACCTCATCTCATGATAATGTATGGATATCGTTAGGAGAAAATTGCTGTTGGTCACTATCGGGACTTAAAGGGTTAAGAGATCTTCCTTCTAACTCCTGCTACTTACGGTGATACGAGGTTAGTGTGATCTGAACCCTTCTCTTATCAAAGCCAAGGTATGTTTCCAAGATGATGGTGTCTGGCCTAGTTGAACTTCGCCAACAGTTTTGATGATGAAGCAGAGGACCAAGGATCAATTCAACTGGGTAAGGATCACCGCACATTGCACATAACATGATCCTAAAATAAAACAAAGAGAAAACAGCTGAGGAAGACCGTCATTCGGGTTACAAGAAACAAACAGATCAGTGACTAGCAGTAACAAACTCTTGTTTGAGCTTGCTAAAGCAAGCAATGTACAGAGTAGCTACATGCACATATGTGTACATTGAAAGCTTGGATGGGCAAAAAGTTTTTTTTTTATCTGACCCTTGGTTGAAAAGTTAATATATTCTTTGGGTGCACTGGCAACCAATTTGTTGTCAGACTATGACCATCACCATTTCATGATTACACTTGGCTTAAGAACTGCCATTTGTAATAATCAACCCACGTTACCAAGACGACACGAGAGTTTGGGCAAAATAAGTTTATTGAACCAAGCGGAGAAAGCTGACCGATAGCTTGACAATAAACCAAGACGCAACTAGATTAAATTAAATGAAACGAAGGGACAATATGGTAATAAACTCAACAAGAATACTGAGATATAAGGGGGGGAGAGGTGGGCAAGAGGTTACGCGTCGCCTCCGGATCTAACAAAAGATGACCGGTTAAGAATGTGCGCTCGTTTATATAAGACATTTGACACCTCCGTAACTAGTTAATTAACGATCATTAATAAATGATTACTCAATCAACCCACGTTACCAAGACGACACGAGAGTTTGGGCAAAATAAGTTTATTGAACCAAGCGGAGAAAGCTGACCGATAGCTTGACAATAAACCAAGACGCCAAAGTGCCCAAACTAGAGTGAGAATGTTGGTAGTGGGTTGAAAGAAAGACTAAGGCATAAGTCGATAATAAAACTTAGTCGGAAAACATAGACTGAAGCGTTAGGGCCATAGCCTTGGCTGCCTGCTGTTTTGTGTCTGAGATAATTCTAAATAAACAAGATAAGCGTCGCTCTTCCAGTCTCCCTGCAGTTTGATTATTTCGGATGGAATATGGCAATCAAATGCGAAAGTCGCCCCACCCTTCGAAAACTATGAGGAGAGTAAAGGGACGGATCTAAATTGAGCGTAGAAATAACCCGCGAAAGAAAAGCGCAAAATTGCTTGTAAGTAATTGGTACTAAACCCGACCCGGAGGAAACTGAAAAAAGGGGCAGACACGGGGCCCGGGTTGAGCGCGAAATGGCGTCGCAAAGCCGAAATCGGACAAAGGCGAGAGCCAGGAATCACGGAATTGGCAAAATAAGAGAGCGTTGCTGACACTGAATGGTCTTCGTGGCTGAAACATGGATATTTGCGCCCGAAGACGTGAAAACCAAATCTGCCCGCGTGATAACCTTGGGGGAGATTTGCCTCGGATTATCGAGTACTAGATTGGATTTACGCAAAAAGGTGAAGAAAGCAACTAAAAACAGAGCCCACATAGCCGCATGTAGCGGTAAAGAAAAAATTGAAAAGATCAAACGCGGCATGCAAAATTGAAGGTGTCATGGCCGATTTACGAGAAACGGCCGCACCCAGAAAACGCTTGGCGCCTCGTAATAAAAGCTGAAAGCGGTAATCGGAACTCAAGTGAGTTCAGACCCGGCAAGTTGATGAGCGTGTTTAAGACTACTAATATGGTTAAGCACGGTACCGTAAGCCCGTTTCTGCGCGACTAAATATGCTACATACAAGCTAATCGATTTAACACTAATAGGAAAGGACTGAAGAGCCCTCAGGTCACAAAAAGTCCGATAACTACGAATATGAGCAGCTATATTCTTCTGTGTCGATGTTGCGTGTGCACAGGAGATGAGACGTGAGACGAAAGACTGCAATGTGACGATAGAAACATCTGACCGGGAATGCTGACCTGATCCCGGAGGGAGGTCTACAAGAGAAAAACAAAACTAAATAAAAGAGTGTCACGCAACATCGAAAGAAAAACAAGCAGAGTCAACATCTTGAAAATAGAAAACTTGATTAAAGTCACTACAAAAGCGATAAAAGCTGTCGCGAGCTGAAGGATCGGAGTGCCAGCGACTAAGACAATCAGCAAACTGATTGTGTGTGCCAGGAACATGGAGCGCGCGGACTTCAAAGTCAAAGAGAGCAGAGGTGAACCATAACTGGCGTAGGCAGCGCTGCATAAAAGGATCTTTTGATGCATTGGATGAGATGACCGTAACAGCCGCGGAGTTATCACATGCCACGATGAATTTTCGACCTTGTAACTGAGGAGCCCAGTGTTTTAGAGCGACAACGATAGTGAACAGTTCCAGAGCATTAATGTGAAGAGATTGGAGAGAAATGCAATCAGGAAAAACAAAACTGATACACTGTGTTTGGCAAGTGGCACCCCCCCCTTGAAGACAAGCATCGGTGGAGAAATTCAGGCCCTCGAAATCCCACAGTGAAGGTTTGATAAGTGAAATGCGGTGATAGCGTGGAAGGAATTCAAACCACCATTGGATGTCCAAGAGCATAGTGGCGGAAATGGGGTACCGATGACTAGCAGCGTGATGTTTGCATTCGCGAAGACATTGTAGAAGTCTGGCCATGAAGATTCTCCCAGGCTTGACACATGCCGTAACAAAAGAGAGCTTTCCCAGGAGCGATTGAAGTTGTCTCTTAGTAAAAGATGAAGATTGTTTCCAGATGATAAGCTCAGCTCGTAAATCCTCCAGACGTGAGGCTGGTACCTCTAGAGTGAAGGCTTCAGTATCAACGGAAATGCCAAGACAAATCATTGAAGTGGAAGGTGGCGTGTCCTTTTCCGGAGAAGAATCCAAGCCAAGTTGCTGGAATAATTGTCCAAGCTGTGAAAAAGCCTGAGGAGCAAGAGACGGATATTCGGCTCCGTAAAAGTCATCCAAATAGACATCCGCCGAAAAACCCTGCCCGTTAAAGATGTGAACGACGGCTTTGGTTGTGCGCTGACAAATCAGTGCCGACGATCGTAAGCCAAAGGGACAACGAGTATCAAAGTAGAACTGTCCTTGGTAACAAAACCCGAGCAGACTATAGTCCTTAGGATCAACAGGAAACTGTCTATAAGCGCGACGTAAGTCTTTCTTAAACACGAGACAGTTACGGCCTTTAGCGAGAATAAAGTCAACAAGCCGATCTATTCCAGGTAAACGCAACTTAAACTGTTCGCCTAAATATGTATCGGGCGGAATACCGTCATTCACTGAAGATCCTCGGGGAAAACTAAGATCCATAACCACTCTGCGAGTCGAAGAGCCGCGTTTAGGGACCGTTTGAAGCGGAGAACACACAAAGGCGTCTGCGAAGGGAGGATTAGGGAAAGGACCAGCGATGGCATTGTAAGACAGCTCGGTATCCAGATAGGTTTGCACGTGAGAGTGAAAGTTTGAAGCGGACGGATGATTATGAGATGATGAGACAGGACGTGTAGCGGCAGTGTAGTTGATGGGCCAACCGTATGAAAGAAAATCAACCACAATGTTATCATGATAATCGGCAAGCGAGGTTCTCCACGTTGCCAGCAAAAGCGAAGATGGAACTAAAACCTTAGCGCCGAAAGCATTTGGTTGAGGATAACGCGAGGCACGTAAATAACGTACCACAGCTGCGGTGTTGAAAGATTCGTGTCCGTGTCCGTTCCGGATCGAAGAGGTTAATGTGTTGGGAACTTGTAAAGCTGATTGTCACTGTGCCGGAATTGGTGTGCGGCGTTTCGGACAGTGTAACATCGGATGATCCGCTTTGCAGACCCGACAACGATGGTGTTCGCTATAGGCTGCACTGTCCTGTTTGTCGCAATCACAAGTACCAGTGTAATTCCACGCTCTACATGCCTTTAGACCGGGTTTGCCTGCCTGCTGATGTGAAGGTGTGCTATTGCCAGAATGCCAAGAATTCGGTTGCGAAACTTGCGCGATCTCGTGTTGCGAGGAGGAAGAGCGAAGATCCGAATGGCGAAAAAAGGTCGTGGCCTGATCATTGATAGCCTTGGAATCTTGCCATTCCAAACGGCGCTGCTCCACTTGTTTCGCAACGAACTTATGAAAAGCCCGCACGCTGGACCAGGAGTAACTGATGGATTTAATCATGAGTAATTCGAGGTGGACCAGGAACGCCTCCTTCAGCTGCGACTCATACGTTTTTATCATGACTAAAAAGCCGGCTACAAACTCTGCAAGATTTAACTTTTCATACTCGCCTTGAACACTGGGCACGAAGTCGTGAGGCCAGTCGATGGGTCTTTTAGTGCGTCGTTGGGAGGTTGGCTCTGTAACATCGTCGGCGAAACCGCCGCGCGTGTTTTCTTGGGGGCGTTCCCGAGAGCTCAGAGTAAGAACTTGCAACTCCAGTTCGAGCTTGTCTTTCTGGAGCTGGACAAGTTGAATTTGTTGCTCAAAAGTGAGCGTGTTTCCTGAATCCACTGAAGAGGTTGCCGGCGGCGAAGGGTCAGGAACCGTGGGTGATTTGGATTTGAAGGACTTCTGCTTTCGCTGCTTTGTTTTCGGTATGTTGTCGGCATCGTCCTCTACTTCTAGAGCCTCTGAAAACAACGAGTGTGAGGGAAGATCGTAGAGGAAATCCGGATCGTACGCTGGTTTGGGAGCGCGCTTTGGACGTGCGCCGGCTGAGAGTGACATTACGAAAAGAGCTTGGAGCGACGAACGTGAAGACAAGAGGTTACGCGTCGCCTCCGGATCTAACAAAAGATGACCGGTTAAGAATGTGCGCTCGTTTATATAAGACATTTGACACCTCCGTAACTAGTTAATTAACGATCATTAATAAATGATTACTCCATTAAAGGGAACGTGTCACAGGAATTACAGCCAAGTCATGTACTTACTATAAAACTTAATGTTGGCAAAGAAATACCCACTTCACAGCTTCACTGCACAGAAAATCAATGTTTTTTTCTAGTCAATATTTTAAGTTATTTGTATTACGTTTCACACAATTTGGTCTAGCCATTTTCTTAAGTTGAATTTAAGCTGAAAGGCTATTACAGCTCCCCTAATATTTTTTTTGTAGTCAACAAGTTTTCTTACTTCAAGTCTGGATCACTGTCCTTTAAATCCTCTGTTGACATGTTTGCTCTGGCCTGTTGCTTCAAGTTCTCTAACAGTCCCCTCATGGCATCCACCACTTGAGTTTCATGAATCATCTTCCCAGCAGAAAAGCGCGCTACTGGGATGTCGATGAAGGTTGCATTGTACCTACAGTCATGATAACGGTGTAATATTACCAGTAATTATATAAAAGAATAAATAAAGAATAGTACAAAACACAAGTTTTCTCCTAACAATATTGATACATTTATCATGGGAAAAGGTTATGAGAAGCAATAAGATGACTCCCAAAGGAAAATAATTAATGTGATATTTTATCAAATTCTCCAAAAAAAGTCTTTAAGGAAGTGTACAGAGATTAACCTGTAGAATCTGTATGTGAATGTTGCGGCTTCAACAGGGATGTCAGTAAGATTTCAAGTTGCCGGGTAAATACAACAATTAGGCAGGGAATCAAACAGCTAAGGATTTCTTTTGGTTTTATTTTTCTACGAAAGTAGCCAGGAGCCAGGCTCATCATTACCAGGGGAAATCCCTGCCTTCTGGCTCTTCATGACAGCCTGTTTCAAGGATTAAGTAATAAAGGGTTTACTAAGCAGACCTTTTGATCAGGCAATATGCGATTTCTCCAGGGTAGTCTTTCTGTCATTAGATTCAGGAGATGGGCTCTACATTGTTTCCAAAGCATACTACAGTAACTTTACACTGGCATTCATGCCTGTTATTTTTTAATTAGTGATGAGATACCTTTTGGACTACCTCTATGTGATTTGATACGATTTAGGTCAATTGTGTAAATTTGTCTACCACATAATAATATGAGAAGCCCTTTCCTAGATGTATGGTATGTATAGCAGCAAGTCCCTATATGTATTCTTCCAACCCATCCTCTGCTAAGCTTCTCCAGTAAAAGATTATTGTGGAATTTATGAAGTTTCCAGTAAGTAGAAAGAAACAAAAATACCGGTATATACAGATATATAAATTGTAATAATATTTTCAAGGAAATCTCAGTCGTCTGTAATATTAAATTCCACAGAGTTTTATTACATTTCAGGAGTAGTGTTAACCAAGAGTTTCTCAACATAAGGCTGCAAAAGTGCTATTTTATTCACAGCAAATAACACCACTAAAACAACTAAACAAACAACAGAACTTAGGTCGAATGCTGTATGGTAAAAATCTTAGCAATACTGGCCACCCATACCTGGAACACAATTCCTGTCCTTCTTTTCTTAGGTGATGAATAATATCTTCATTATTTGGACTTCTGGCCAGGATGATGAATGTTGGAGGAAGTATCAGAATGGGGTTTGACTCATCAACACTGTCATACTTTGATTTGACACTCAACTCATCCAAACAATCTCGAACAAAATCCAATGACTCCAGAGATCCATAAACACAGAAGCAACCAACTGTATACATCAAAATGGTACCATTAAAATTATCCTGTAGTTCGAATTTTAGATTAAGTTGAAGTATTTTTTTTTCTCATTTTCATAACTTTCCTATAAGACACACTTTAGCTTGCGAAAACATCCGTTTCTCCTCGCTCTTCGCTGCTGGGGACATTTCGCAAGGAGGAACGTCTGCGACTCAGCAACAGAAATTTCATACTGATGACGTACAATCTGTCCGGAATCCAGTCAGAAGCGCTGATTGGTCGATGGAGTAGTTACATTGTTTTAGCTATTGACAGACAAAAGATAAAAGGCCACAAAGGTCCAATGTAAATGCGAAGAATCTCGAGCAAAACAGTCAATATTTGTGGAATAAACTCTTCTCTAGAAGAAGTGTTTGAGTTATGCTGGAGCTCGTTGGCAGATGAACACAACACTTTACCAAAATCGACCAGAAGACACGTAAAATTGGACAAATTTGTATTTGGAACCTCATGACTACCGGATTTATTATGCAAACATTGATTTGCGTCATCAGTATGGAATTTCTGCCACTGAGTTGCAGATGTTCCTCCGTGCGAAACGTCCCCAGAGGCGAAGAGCGAGGAGAAACGGATGTTTTCGCAGGCTAGACACACTTCAAAGTCAAGGGCACAGCTTACAAACTGTACATATTACATGAGCTTTTTACAGTCTTTTGAAGCTCTCTTAACAGTCAGACATGTACTCGTAAGCAGCCAGCTTCAGTTGAAGACATGTTTTCTGCTTCCTATGGGTGTCTGCTTAAAGGAGCTACAATCAAACATGCAACAAGTGAACCACTATTAAACAGCCATCCTCTACTAGGCAGTCACTCACCAAAGTCCTGGATATCATTAATTTTCCCTTAATTATGGCAAAACAAATTTGTAAATTAAGCCGTAAACTCTACTAAGCTGCCAGTAAGAAATTCCCAAAGGGTGAACGCTTAATACAGGTCTGACTGTATGTCGCAATAATATTGCTGTTTTAGGTCAATTCCATGCTAATGTCGTTACTTAGTGCCGTTACATGTACCCATAAACAAAATGCTCCTGTACAGTCATGAAGAAGGTATCAAACAATTTCATCAAGGAGCACTAACCACAATAATTGTTAGTTCATTTTTTCCGGTATCGCATTAAAGCTTTTTTCATGTTCAAATTCATGTCCATCCGTAGCCACAGAAAACGGGAAAGAGCTTCTTAAATATGCACGTAGTCTTAAATAACAAAACTGGGCCATTATGTTTGGAGTTCTTTTGACATGAAGACATGTCTTAGCTCTTTAAAAGATAGCAAATAGTATGACATAATTAAGGGAACTTCAACATTACATGTACTCATGTATTCAAAGAGAACATTGTCAAGCAACATCAGAATAAGATAATATTTTGAGCTTGATAAAATTATGACATTGACAAGTAAATTTCACGCACACTGGTGAAATTTAAACTTGTTGGGTTACAAAAAGAAAATTTTTCAGCTTCTTCAAACCTGAGAATTTGTTTTGAATTTTATAGCTCTGCCTGACACAAAGCAAAGTTGTCATAGTAAATAATTAAAGAAAAAATCTTTTTGTCTGATGAGTCCTAGCTGACGCAAATACACGTCAGTGCTGATGCTAGCTGCATCTGAGAAGAAGCAAACATGCATCTGCATCATGACTGTGTGGTTCCCTTAAATGTGTTCTGCACTGTACCTTGTGAAGTCATGTCAGTCCCTTGAAAGGCATATATTCTGGCAGATCAACATCACCATCAACAATCTGATAATCCAGTTCATACATGCGCCCATCAAGAGCAAACTCCAAACCATCGGTGTCTCCATAGGAACACTGGGTCTGCAACATTTTTAAAGACATGTCAATTACCAAACTGACAACACATGTCAATTAGATTTTATTTTTGAGTACTACTGTGTACTATTGTGTACCTGTGAAATTCAGGCATTCAAATGCTATTATTTTTTCAGCACTAATATGGGCCATTATAAAAGGACATTTTACAGTTATGGATGGAAGTGAGCCTGACGGTGACCTTGTTTTGGTACAAACCTTTCTGCTCTATTATGTAAATCAAGTTATTCTTATTCTAACTTGTACTTTTCAGTGACAATTTCCATAACAAAGCAAAGGAGGTTTGTATCAAAAAAAGGTTTACAACTGTAAAATGGTCTATTGTGTGCTTAACATCCTGGGCTTTGAACAGAAGCAAGGCTAAAGGCGACCTTGTTTTGTGACAAACCTTCAGATTTTTCACATGTAGATGATGATGTTTTAAACATACTTCTTGGTGTTTACACATATTCTTTGAATTTACATGTACATAATGCTCATAATACGCACCCTAATTTCACTCTCCATTGCTTGAGCAAAGCCAGCACTTCCCAAAATCACCAAATTTATTTGGCTGTCATCACTGTCAAGTGTTTCACTGCTATCCATAAAATGAGGTCTGTAAAAGATAAATCCCAAACAGTTTATCTTCAATTCAAATCCTAAACAATGATCAGCATCAAATTTCTCCCTTTTTTAATACACAATAAACAAGAGGTCATACATTTTAAGAATATAATCAGTCAGGATACATTAACTTCATGACATCACATGTACTAAGCCACTTCATGACATGAAGTGGCTTATAATTAGTACATGTGATGTACACGCAGCCACTACTTTGAAAGGAAGAATTTTGATTGAAACCTGACAAAAGAAAATGTAAATCTAACCAAAGGAGAAAAATGGTGATCAAGGGAAAAAAAGATCTTTTAAGTGACATATTTGTTCAAAGATGACACTCGCTGTTCTGTTCACACATCATGGTTTGGGTGAGTGTCTAAATGGAGCTGCAAATAACAGTGCATTGTCAGACAATGATTGGCCAAATTATCCCAGCAGTTAGACGCGAGGACCAGACAGCTCGAAAAACCAGAGTAATTATCATTTTGTATCTGAGGATTAACATTCTACACATAATAAAGAAATGTATTTGTCAACATAATGTAAATGTAAATCTGGCACTTTTCTGATTTGTCATTTAAATGGTGATGTGTTTGAACATAAATCATGTCCTTTCTAAAAAGAAACATTATTCCCCATAAATGGGACTCAGCAGCCTGTTGGGCCCTACAGTAAATATGCCGACGTTGAAGCTCACTGTTAAATATATATAATGCCAAGAGGAAATGAACTGTTACCCTCTCATCCAAGACATCATGTTACATTATAGCAAGAGTTGGGACAATGAAATGTGATGGAAAAAAAAATTATCTGTGAGTCTGCAAAAGCATGAGTCCATAGTTAAGCTACGATAAAACAGGCATAAAAAAGTGCAACTTGTTTTTCAATATCGCTAAACCAGCTAAAAATCAATGCTGTGTGCTTTACTAACCTGTCTCACAAAAAATCAGGTTGTTGCAAGTTGCATAAATACTGACTTTTGATTGGATAAAACTACACAGAGTCACGCTAAACATGGGAGTTATGCCATTTGTTGCAAAAAAAGTTTGCCTTGGGCCAGTAAAATGAAAATGCACTTTATCTACATGTACGTGAACATATTTTAATGTAGAGAGTTGAGCTACTCTCTACTTTACAGGGTTCATACAAAAAATTGTGACCATTTCCTAGGGACTTTTCAAGGAGCAAATTTGATTTACAAGAACTACCTACCGGGAATATAAGTCACAGATTTGTACATACATATAAATGCAGATTCCCAGTCCAAGCTAACAGCCAAAAGGCATTAAAAAACACTTTCCGGGCCACTTCATTCAAAGTTGAGGACAACTCAAGGACTTTTCAAGGGCTAGCACAGAAATTTGAGGACTTTTCAAGGAAAAATGGAATTCAAGGACTTTTCAAGGACCACATTCGAGTTTCAAGGACTTTTCAAGACTTGGGGAACCCTACTTTAGGCACAACCTGACGGGTTTGTTTTGTGGGTGGTAAAATGTATACCTGCCAACTTTTTCTGAGATATAAGCGTGAGATTTTTATGCTGGGAGTGCTGGGATTTTTTGAAGACAACACGATCATTTCCGAAGATTCCCGAAGAAGTCCGAAGTCTTCCGAAGACGTCCGAAGTCTGCCGAAGTCTGCCAAGGGTGAGCTCCCTCCCAGTGCTTTTCACTTCAAATTATTCATTTTACACATAGTTTTCGTTCCTTACATGGGTCTGAGTTAACATATTTTTGGAAATTGTGTCAAGCAGGACGGCAACAACTCACATTTTTCAGTCAGGCGTGAGAAATTGGCCCGCAGGCGTGAGCCGGCGTGAGATCGAAGTTTTCAACCCGCAGGCGTGAGACTCACGCCTAAGGCGTGAGAGTTGGCAGGTATAAAAATGTGCAACATTGCTATTTAACTTGTTTTGCAGCAATGTTGCAATAAAAGCTGAACACCTTTGTTGCCTGTTTTACCATAGTGTTACAGGAGTTTGTTTGTTTGTTTCGCTTACTCTTTAAGGTCAGGAAAGAGAAATGTTGGAGGTAAATAGTTTCTGTGAAACATATCAAATATGACTTTTTTTTCGTTTCTATGAAAATTTTTTAGAGCTCTTTAAAAGTGGACTATTGTTTCATGACTTAAGAATTACAAGAAAGGCTTGTTCAAGACGAAGTTGGAAGAACTACAAGAATATTTACGTCGTTTACCGCGTTGCTTCGCAATTTTTGTTTCTACTGACAGTGAAAGGAATTCGATTTGCAACTGGTTTTCACGAAAATTGAAATCTAGAACTTTGTTATCTTACCTATAAAAGTGGTTATTTGCAGATTTTTTTTTAAGTAGTAAAGTTCGGGTGATGTACATTGTGTTTTTGACGCGCTAAATATAAATACCCTTGGTGACACTGAATCGTTGCGATTGCTCACGTTGTTTCCTCAGCGAAATCACGGCTACAGTGCAGCTGGAAAAGTCATTCTTCTAGTTTCAAACAGCAGTAAAGGCATTTTTCTCATGACATGTTCTATGTTTAAAAGGGGCCACGAGAACGAAGGAGCCGGTCAAGATTTACGGATTATAGGGGTGGGGGCTTGGGGAAATTTTTAAGGTTCTAGAAAATGCCATGTAAATCTGTATTTCTGTTACAAATAAAATATATCGAAAAATTTAAATTATTATGACAACTTAAAATTGATGGGGAGAGGGAGGTAAAATTATATTGCTATGCGATGAAAGAAAGCATGTGGGGGGTCCTTCCAAAACAATTTTAAAAAGAAGTTCAAAGAAATCAAAGACAAAATAAAAAGAGTCCACAAGAAACTTGAAGGTGGGTGCTTGTGGTTTTAACCTTTTATTATGATCCAGACTATCTCTTAAAACACATTTCATCATCCACCCTCCCCCTCCTCCAAATGAAAGTTCACTTTCTCAACCTAAGTTTAGTGGAAAACTAAGTCACAGAGGTGGAACAGGAAGTCATTAATACATATAATAACCTTTTTTCATTTCACTGGCCACAATAATGATCTGCTGTTTCTCAAACAATGGAAAAGTGCTGTGATCAGCCTTCTCAAAATATGTTGCTTGCTCAGTCATTATTTTTAACCCATTTACTCCTGGAAATGTTGCAGAAAATTGTTTTTTTTGAAGCTAATCAAGCTGTTTTCTGGTCACTGCCTGGCTACAAAAAGCCAAAATGCTGTTTGTGAGTTGGGAACTTCACAGAGCCTTCTGTTCCAGATGCAATGTATCAGCTTCCAACAGTTGATCATGCTCAGAAAGCAAAATTTTCAAGCTAGTTTTTAGGTTTAAAAGTGACACAGCATTCTTGATGTTTATTTTTCCTTCCTCTCCTCCCATTGATAGGAAATGGTTTGGGGAAGCTTGTAGGATCATAGGATTAGATAGAAAGATGTGTAAGTGAGTAGTGGAACAAGATTTCAAGGGAAATGGGTTTATAGTTAAGCATTAAATGTTGTGATGGGTTGGTTACAGTAAGTGACATTGCAAACTTATTGTGTTCCTATTACTTGGGGAATGCAACCAGTGATAAATTCATTAAAAAGTGTGAAAAATACACAAGTGTGGCTACTGTTTTCAGAGCCCAAAATAATAACTTCACTGGTAGATATTTTCACTTCTGAAAGTTTCATTGTATTGACCCCATGACAAAAAATAACTAAACCAATGAATTTCTCATGGAGTTGCACTGTTCACCATCTTTCAGAGTAGCCTACAGTAGGACCTGCACCGGACCATTAGTTGACAATAATAACTTCAGAGGGATTATGTTCCATGTAGTTACCTGCCCGAGGTTATCGCTATTATCCCAACTAAACTCAGCAAACATGCTTTACAAGAAAGTGCAAAGTAAATTGTGTATAAGAGTAATGAGGTTGACTACCCCATGTGCACTAATGTAGGCATTTACTGCATGCTTGACCAAAATATTCTTTGGCCTGGACTGAAAGCCAATATCATGTTAATAAACATGAAGCTTGTATTTGTTGTAGTTAATTTTTTTAACTCAGGTAATGTATGCTAATAAAGTTGAAACAAAAGAGAAAATAAAAATTACCTGAGATAAAAAATAAACTGCAACATATATGTCAAATATAGCTTCAGGCGGAAGGTATTGAAACTCTTTCCAGGAAAGAAATTTTTGTTCAAAATCTTAGATTTTTCTTTGTAACACCATTAATATTTAACTCATTGACTGGCAAACAGTTTTGTTTATTGAAATCCTCTATTAAGCCCCCAGGGGGGCTT